TCTTCTTCTCCTCTGTTCCTCTTCTCCTCTGTTCCTCTTCTTCTTCTCTGTCCATCTGCTCCTCTGTTCCTCCTCTTCTCTTTGTGTTTAGAGCCGTGTCCGTCGCTGCTGCTGCAGAGACACATGGCAGAGCTGCTGAGTGTCGACAAAGACATGGCCGCCTCGTTCCTCAACAGCGTCCTGAACCAGCTGAACTGGGCGTTCTCTGAGTTCATCGGGATGATCCAGGAGGTTTGTTATTCTGACGCCTTCAGGGACTGTGGGAAAGAAAAGATTAAAATAACAAATTTGATAGATTGATTGATTGATTGTTCCTTCTCCTCCTCTGCTCTCTCAGATCCAACAGGCCGCAGAGCGTCCAGAGAGAAACTTCGTTGACACCAGGCAGCTGAAGGTAAAATATCTGTTAGTCGGTTTGTTTCCATCCAGATTTTCAAATCTTATCTTATAATGAAAAGTTAGTTTTCTTGATTGAGGTGAAAACATTGACTCATCAATAAAAGCTAAATGACTGCAGTGGCGCAAAGAAGTCACATGACTTTACCATCATTATGTCAACCAATCAGGAAACTAGAGTTAACATGCAGACTTGAGAATCAGTGCCACCTGCTGTTTCTCTCCAACCATGGGATCCAGAGCCTCTGGAACTCTGTTTCATTCGTAACATTGACATTTTTAAATCATCTTCCATTTTGCAAATGACATGTTTTTTTCACTGTTCATTTTATTTATTTTATTGATGTTTTCTGTTGTGTTTTTTCTCTGCCATCTAAGTTGACCTTGAGATCTCTGAAAGGCGCCTATATATAAAATGTATTGTTATTATTATGTTTCGTTTCCACACACTCACCTGATGTGTCGTTGTTTAGGTGTGTGCGACCTGCTTCGACCTGTCCGTCAGTCTGCTGCGAGTCTTGGAGATGACCGTCACTCTGGTTCCTGAGATCTTCCTCGACTGGTCCCGCCCCTCAGCAGAGCTGCTGCTCAGACGACTGGCTCAGGTAATAATAATAATAATATAAGTGTTGTGTGTGTGTGTGTGTGAGTGTGTTTGTGAGACAGTGAGTGAGATGATAAACTTGTGTGTTTTCTCTGCAGTTGTTGAACCAGGTTTTGAACAGAGTGACGGCAGAGAAGAACCTGTTCGATCGTGTTGTCAACTTAAGACTTCCAGGTAGACACACACACACACACACACACATCACACACATAAAGTGTGTCAGTATGAAACATGTTGTGTGTGTCTCCGTCTTTGTTGCAGGTCTGGAGAGTGTCGATCATTATCCGATCCTCGTTGCTGTCACAGGGATCCTGGTTCGGATCCTGGTTGACGGAGACAGACAGGGGTGAGTTTGAGCTGATGTTTTTACCCATGATACACCTGAGTGCAGTCAGACCTAAATGTAAACTGAAACGTGATTGGTTGGTGAGGGTGTAAAAGCAGAAGGTAGTGATTCTGGTGTTAGTGCGTCCATGGCTGTGCTGTGTTGTTGAGAACACACTTATGTGCTCAGCTACATTTCCATGTATCCTGTATGCACAGCAGCGCTCTGATGTTCATGAGTTTTCAGTTGTGGAATTAATTAATTCATTAATTTTTCACGTGTCTCCGGCTGCAGATGCTCTCACTCATTAGCTGAATGAGACCAGGCATCCAATCGGCAGCCTCCAGCTCTCAGCTTGTTTCATGTTAACGCACTGCCGCCTGCAATATTAACCTCAACCACTGGAGGGTGCTCAGGTGTTTCAATCAATCAATCAATCCAATTTTATTTGTTTAGCCCATATTCACTAATCACAATTTGTCTCATAGGCTTTAACAAGCTGTGACATCATCTGTTCTTAACACAACAAGAAAAATCTTTTAAGAGAGAAAAAGAACGTGATCCACCATCATGATCCATGATGTGGCTGCAGTCGCTGCCCTGGATCTGTGAACGATAAGGCACAGGGACTCCGGGGAAGAAGTCAAGCCAATAACATTTGTTGATGAGACATTAAGATATTTGATGTGATAAGGAGAGAGGAGGAGCTGAGAGAAGCTCCATGTGTCATGTGTTCCTCCACATTCTAAAGCTACAGCAGCAGAACCCAGAGCTGATCTAAGACGAGTCTGGACCAGCTCTAACTATAAGCTTTATCATAAAGGAAGGTTTAAAGCCGACTCTTAAACACTGAGAGGAGGTCTGCCTCCTGAACTGAACCTGAGATGATTCCACAGGAGAGGAGCCTGGTGCTGAAAGCTCTGGCTCCTCCTCTACTTTTAGAGACTTTAGGGACAACAAGTAAGTCTGAATTCTGGGAGCTCAGGGCTCTAGTGGTGATATGGTACTTTGAGCTCTTTAAGGTATGATGGTGTCATATTATTAATGTAGGTGAGGAGGAGGATTTAAAATTCTATTCTCAGTTTAACAGGAAGCCAGTGTAGTGAAGCTAATACAGGAGACATGTGGTCTCTGTCCCCGGTTCTTGTCAGGACACGTGCTGCAGCATTTAAAAAAAAGTGCAGAGTCTTCAACGACTCACTGCTGGAGCCTGATAACAAGGAATTACAATAATCAAGTCTGGATGTGACAAAGACCTGGACGAGTGTTTCTGCATGTTTGTGAGACATGTCTGATTTTAGAGATATTACGTATATGTATATTACGTATATGTATATTACGTGAAACAAGTCCTAGAAATGAGTTTTAAGTGAGAATCAAGGGACAAATCGGGATCAAAGATCACTCACTAATTCCTGATGTTTCATTGGAAGCGAGGGTAAAGTGCAGCTTCATCATTAGATAATGTATCTCTAAGGTGTTGAGGGCCGAGTATTAGAACCTCTGTCTTATCTGAGTTTAATAAGAGCAAACTGCAGCTCATCCAGGTTTTTATTTCCTCGAGACATGAAGTTTAGTTCGTTGATGACACTGTTCTGGTTTTATTGATAAGTATAACTGGGTGTCAGTGGAAATTTACAGTGTGTCCTGATAATGTTTCATAGTGGGAGTATGTAGTATTGTCAGGAAATCATTAACACAACCCACTGGATCCATGCACAACTGTCTCAAACCCCACCTAGTGGTGGGCAGCTGCATAACAATCGTAGCCACAACTCGGTTGAATGAGCGACCTCTGACCTTGACGACCTGTGGGTTCGTTCATTAACATCTCAACAAACAGACATCCACCGTCTCCAGCAGGGGTCACTGTCCGACGTGACGTCAGTGCTTCTGTTTCCTCCATCACTCTGCTCTCTGTGCCTCACTTCTTTATTTGGGTAGTGTTATTTTCACCTCCCCCCATTCACAATGGTGCTGTTACCACCCCTCCCCCACCCTCTGCACTGTAGAAAATCAATGATGCTAATTATTGTCCATTACCTCGGGCTGAACGACAGGAGCAGCAGCTTGAAGCCTCTCACAGATTAGATTGAGACTGAGGCTAATTAGCTTAGCAGTGTTGGAGCACGAAGGCCTCGGCTCTGGGATGTTGTTGCTCGACCTCCTGCAGGTTTATTGTCGTCCCTCAGCTGGAGAATAGTGAGACGAAGGTTTCCCTCCGTGGTCACGACGTTAACTCTGAGATCAGACGTGTTCATGTTGATCAGCAGGAGACGGGATAATAACACATTTTATTTAACAGGAAGGATGATGAGGTTGATGAAAGATGAGTCAGTTACATTGAATGAAAACATTTAGATGATTGATTTGTTGATAAGAACAGAGGCAGATTTTCACATTATTCAGTGTTTGTGTTAGCACGGAGAGATGTTTGTGAAACAGTAAGACGCCACAAAGAGAAGAACAGCAACACAAATAATCATCCTCCGAGACGCAGCAAGGAAACACACAATGACATCTCCACAGGTCAGTGCATGGAGCTGAGCAGCAACAAAAAGCAACACATACACAAATCTGACACATTCAGCTACACGACAATCTTCATGAAACTTCCCTCTATCTACTCACCACAATGAATGATGGGCACTGTGCCCATCATTCTGCCCCCGGAGTGTCATCAAGTAACCGCGAGCCAAGTTTTCAGTCTAAATGTCTCTGATATCCTGCTCGGAGGCCGTTCACGTAGGCAGACACACCTGAAAACCGCGTGTTAGTCCTAGAAGCAGCAGGACATTGTCCCAGTCAGAAAACACATCACTGTCCTCAGACTGTCCATCGCTGCAGCTCCTCTTTTCAGCCTCTGTCTCAAACCCTTGGTTTTAGCTCCTGTCTCTTTAAGTCCCCCCTCCTCATGAAGGCTTTACTGATTGGTCAGCTGCTCCACTCTGATGTGATTGGTCAGCAGTCACATGATGAAGTTGTAGGACGTCTGTACACTGACGGAGCCAGAAAACAAGCTAACACACTGAACTAAGGGTTACTGCTGCCATTAATGTGCTCATTTACATAATACTCATTTATTTTAGTCAACATTAATACATTACAGGTTTCTGTACTTTACTTGAATATTTATTTTCCTGATGACTTTTTACTTTTACTCGCTTCATTTGAACACAAATATCTGTACTTTCTACTTCTTACATTGTCAAAACTGGTTCGTGTGTACAGAGGACAGGGACTTAATCAAGGCCAGCACATTCTCTCCATGTATTCCTTGTTCAGACTGATCCAGGTGCAGGACCTCGTTCACAGTCTTTGTCATTCTGTCTGAGTGATTTTCTCTGGTCCAGCTCTGTGCAGGTTGTTCACAAGTTATCAGAAGAGGCTTCGTGTATCATTGAAGTTAAAAATGTATTTTTACTTTGTACTTAAAGCTCCAGTGAGTCAGATTCAGGTGAAAGGATCTATTGGCAGAAATTTAATGTAGAATAATCCTCATGATGATTTCACTAGTTTATTTCATCTAAATTGTTTGAATTGTAGTTTTCTTTACCCCAGAAAAGACCCTTTGTATTTACATACTTTATGTTTAAATACTTAATGTTTAAATACTCGAGTATTTACATGGAGGACATGGACTGGACCTTTAAGTACATTTCTTTCTGTACTTTCTTACTTTTACTTGAGTAAAGGCGTTGAATCAGTACTTCAGACCCCACCTCTTCACGTGGTTAATGAAACGACCTTTAACCTTCTGTCACATGACAGCAGCTATTTATCGACTTCTAATTGGTTTTATTGATTTCACTCGTTCATTGTGTTTGTTGTTTGCCGCCTCGTGTCTGATTGATTCACACAGAGCTGTGACATGTTCTACACAAACATTTTCAGTCATGTGACGGTGGGGGGGGGCAGTTAGAGTCAGTCAGCTGAAACACAGTTTACTGTTTTCTTCTCTGATTGGACGATATCATCTCACTTCAGTCACACAAACAGATCAATGTTTGCATAACTGTGTGTGTGTGTGTTTGTGCGTCGCTGTCGGCTCCGCAGCAGATCTCCCATCATTCTGGTCTTCTGTTACCGTGGAAACGACAGAGCAGAGTATAAATTGGAGTCTGGATGTGGAGGGTGGGAGACGGCGACGCTCTGAACAAAGTAGAAGGAAAATGAGACGGAGGAAAGGAGAGATGGAGGCGTGAAGGGTCAGAGTTCAGGTAGCCAGACGAGGGGAGAGAGATTCACAAAGACAGATGAGAGGATTCAGGAGGAAGGAGAGAGTAGAGATGAGACAGAGAGGTCTGAGGGGAGGAGAGGGTTAAAACAGAGGAGTGAAGAGAGAATGGAGGGAGGAGAGGATAGAGGAGGGAGGAGAGAAAACAAGAGGAAGAGAGGATGGAGGAGGGAGGAGAAAAAACAGAAGGAAGAGAGGATAGAGGGAGGAGAGTATAGAGGTGGGAGGAGAGAAAACAGGAGGAAGAGAGGATAGAGGAGGGAGGAGAGAAAACAGGAGGAAGAGAGGATGGAGGGAGTAGAGGATAGAGGAGGGAGGAGAGGATGGAGGAAGAGAGGATGGAGGGAGGAGAGAAAACAAATAATATTTCAGTGATAGAAACATTTGACTCCATCTTGGTTCAGATCCTGATTTTCTTTAAATCAGCTGTTTGTCATCACGTCACATGACTTCAGCTGCATCGTTAACTCATTAACATAAATCAGCTGATGTCGTTGTGGGGTTAAGACGCCCCCCACAGGCGACCAGGTGAAAGGTTGTGTTGATTTCCAGATAAATCGCAGACCTGTGAAGAGGAAGTTGTTCAATCAGCTGATCTTGACTCATCATCAACAAAACAACGTATGAATTGATTTCATCAGGGTCAAAGGTCACTGTGACCTCATGACTGGACATAAAGTGGATGGAAGTGCTCCGGTTGCTCTGATGTGGTTCTAGATTCTCTACTGAAGTCAGTTACACATCTGGACCCTCTGAACACACACACCTTTCTACAGTTCAGTGAATAAGACGAGTGTG